TTGGGACATGGATATCTTTCGGGGGGCCTATCCCCACGCCTCCCACTGTTCCCTGCCTCAGAGAAGATCTATGAAAGTGAGTACACGTGGTAGATCCCAAGCCAGCCTAGTCATGGTGTGATTTCAGTGCTTCTAGAAAGGCTTCCTAAACCCCTTCTCCTACAGATACCTCCCTAACCTGCTAACTTCTGATCCTCTCAGGGGAGAAAGTATCTTCATCCACAGTGAGAATGCAGCTCCGTACAAGGTTTCTTCACAATAAGGTGTAAATGGTTGACAGCAGAACCTTTCCTAAGAGCAGGTTCTGATGAGCGGGAGGCACATGTGAGGGAAGGAGGTGCCAGGAGAGAGTAGGCAGGGAGTCTGGGGCTGACTTGGATCATGTCCCAATAACTCTCCTGCACAGAGATTCCCAGTGACGGAGAGAGCAAAGGCACTTGGAAGTATGACCATAAAGTTTTAATCAAACAGAGCAAAATGGCTGCGATGCAGAACAGGTAGTGCTTAGAGAAGAGGAAGAAGGTCATCTCCTTGGCGACATAGATGACGTGTATAAAGATGAAGCAGTACAGGAACATGGCAAACTGGTTCTGGGGGAGCAGGAGGTCCTGGAGGCGACCTGAGAACTTTGGGAGAAAGAGGAGAGAGGAGCTGGCAAAACCAGGGCTCAGGCGCCAGACAGACCTGTAGTCAATCCTGCACTTCTCCTTTCCTGAATGTGGCCTTGGGCAGGTTGTCTTCCTCATCCAAGGAAAGGATAATCGTGCCCACCTCACCAGATTATGAGGAAGAGTGAAACAAGAACTGAGAAATTTCTAGCAAGGTCACTGGCTCATAGAGGGAACTCCTGATACCTCTTGAGTCTCCTCGTAGCTCTCCTGACGCAGGCCAGCACCTTCCTTCCTCTGTCGTTCCATACCACCTCTGACTCATACAAGTGGGCAGTTTCCCTTTGACTCTGAGATCCCCAGATCTGGATGCCGGGTTTCGGGAGTGTTCTCTGGATGGTTTTCCCTGACACTCAACCTTGTTTTCTGGACAGTGGCACAATGAGAGGGTGTCCCTTGGGCACAAATGACTGTTTCTGACTCTCTTGTGCTGGCATATGTCACACAGGTCAGTCTGTGGTCCTTCAGCCCAGAGTTTGGTCTCTCCTGGGGACAGGTAGGGAGAGATGGGTTATGAGGCCCCCTAACCCCTCAGAACCTTGGGCGTGGGGGAAAGCAGCCTGAGTTGTCTGCCTGATTCCGCCTGTGTGTCGCTCATTTCCGGAATCTGTATAATTGAGGGCCAACAGACCCCCATTAACTGTAGAAAGCATCAATGTATAAGGAAGGCAAAAACTGATATAATTGTTTTGATCTATAGTTAAGAAGGCATCACCCAGGGTTTGTTCTCTAAAATATCTTTGAAAATCATGCCACCTTTTTTGTAAGCAGACAGATGGCAGGGACTGTGATGCCCTAAACCAGCTAGAAACCCACTCAGAGGTATTTTTCAATACAATGACATCTATCTACCCACCCATTTGCCCAGAAAAAGAGACAGTGGAGAGGGAGCTTAAAAACCAAGTCAGTCCTCCACCTTTCAGCAAATGCACAAAAAGTAAAACAGTTTTGTAAACTACTACCGAAGACGAGGATTTTGGACACATCGTTGCTGAAACAACTACATAAATTGTGGGGGCAACTAAATTAAAACTGAGTGGGGCCACCTCTAATATGAATAGCAAGGAAGGTGGAAGACCAGAGGAAGAAACCCGGCGTTCTGGCGGGAGGGGAGAGCTGGGCAGACCTGGTGGTTCTCTGCAGACCCGCTATGGCTCTTTCTGGCACTTTTTTGCAGTCTGCATGGGTTTTCAGTCTGAAATGCTGATGGGTGGTAATTATGTTTCTGATAACCAAACGTGCATTTGTGAAACCTTTTAGATTTTTCAAAACACTTTCAATGGTCTATCTTTTGAGCAGAAGACAGAGAGTAGATAGGGCTATACACCAAGGGTTCCCAGTTCATCCAGCATGGAGTAAGATTTCCAAACTAAAAAAGGGAAGACAAATATGGTTAGCAGGCAACATAGACCAAAGGCATTGTACCATACCACATCTGCTTTAAATAGTTTCAGGCTCCAACTTGTGTCAAATTTTATCCCAGGATACTGAGACTAAAACCACAAGTTTGGAAATGGAATTTATTTATGAGAAGTCAAAAATATCAGGACATGCGCCAGAATCTTAGAGACAGGCAAATATTTTCTAGATTTTTAAAAAGAGAGGAAAAAAGATGGATCCTGGAAATCCCAGTTCAGTAAGCTTGACTTGGTTCAGCAAAATCATTTAGTGTATAATTAAGCAGGTATTTTGTGAGCAAGAAAATAAAATGATAATTATTAAGAAGTCATCATGTTTTCATTGAGAACAAATTGGCAAAACCAACCCCATTTTCTTGAAAAAAAAAATTGACCAGTCAGCTGGGGAAATGCTATGGATAGTATAACATCTTAATTCTGGGAAAGCATTTGACAGTGTGTCTCAGGATGGCGTTTTGGACAAGGTAGGGAAATGAGAGCTGGATAAAATATAACTCAAGGGTGCTGATGAATGGAACATTGCTAACCTGCAGGGAGATCTTTCAGTGTATTTACCTTAGGTCATATCCTCCTCAATAATTATAGCAATGACTTGGATAAAGACAGAAGGCAAGTTTCTCAGAATTGAGGATGACTCAGAGCTGGGAAGCATAGCTAATACATTACATCCAATAAAACTGAGAAGTGATAAATGTGAGTTGTTGCATTTGGGTCAAGAAGTGAATTGCATGAGTACATAAAAATGGTAATAGCTAACATTTATTGAGTGCTTACCTAATGTGCCAGGCTCACTGCTAAGTGCCTTACATGCATTCTCTCATTTACTCCCCACAACGAGCCTATGAGGTACTACCTTATAGATGAGCAAACTGAGGCTCCGGGAGGATTAGTAACTTCCCAAACGTCATCAAATTTATACACGGTAGATTTTAACCCAGGACTGCCTGATTTTAAAGCCCAGACAACACTGCTTTACACAATAATATCTTTCACTATTTACTGCTTAGGATGGTCCACTCACAGTGCTAAACATCTCACATCCCCTTTAATCACAGCAGCCTTTCTTATCGCCATCTAGTACAGATTAGGGGAGAGTGGTCCATTTCTTGTGAAAAGATTTCTCCGTTTAAGTTGACTACAGGGCAGTGTGATCCAACAGAGCAAATGCAGCCTTGATCAGGGGAGGGGATGGTTTCACCCAAACCCACTGGCCAGACTGCAGGGGGGGTTCTGGGTCTAGCCCCGGGCACCACAGTTTAAGAGAAGCAGAGAGGAACGGAGAGTGGCCAAAATCCAGTCAAAGGGGAAATGTTGACGACTTTTGCCTGAGAAGCAGAGCCATGGGCAGGCGGGTGGAAAATATGGTCCCAGTGCCCCTCCTGGGGTCAGCTCTCCTTCGAGAGTTGGAGCTCAGTTTAACTCGGAAGCTCTAAAGCAGTGAGCAGCCCATACCCGGACCCAGGACAAGATGCCTTGGCGAAGAAGGTAAGGTGGGCCCTTCTTCGCTCAGGGGCGGGACCCCTTACTCCCAGCCTTCTGGGCCTGGGGGCCTCTCTCTGCCAGCGCCGCCTCCCTTCCCTGTCACCTACCAGGCGGGGCGTCGCCTGCTGCTGCAGCTGCTCCATCACCTCCTCGTGCTGCCGCTGCCGCTCGTTCTCCTCGTGCAGGTACTTGAGCCGCGTGAGCTCGAACTCCATGCGCGCCTTCTCCAGCTCCATCTCAGCGTTGTTGCGCTCGGGCCCCGGGATCCCCGGGGCGCGGGGCAGCTCTGCGAGTTCGGGGCCATCGCCCGCCTGGCCTTTGGTGGTGGGGCCGGCCTTGGGCGGCAGCGACTTAGGGGGCCCTGGGCAGCCGCCGTCCTCACAAGCTTCCTTCTCCTCTAGGTAGTCGTAGGAGGAGTCTGGCTTCGGGGACTCTGCCTCCTGGGGCAGGGAAGCCGGAGTCGGAATCGTGAGGAGTCAGTGTGTGGCTGCCCCCACCCTCACCCCCACCGCACTCCGGCAGCCCCGACCACAGTGGACTGGGGTGTTTGAAAGAGTGTTGTGAATTGTAAAGCTGTAGACTGAGTTCTTACTGGAAATGCACTTAACTCGAGTTATCAGGACCTGAGAGTTAAGAAGGAGAGAGCAAACTGACACCAAGGAATGGCCCTTGAAGTTGCAAGTGGAGGCCCTGGGGAGTCGAGGTGGAAATCTGTCTTCTTGGTGATTTTCAAATCACCACTGGAGCTAATTCTCCCCCACCCCTACCTAACTTTAAGGCCAGTTAGATACCCAGTCCTCTTGGGCCTACAGAGGGAGGAAGAGACCCAGGGTCTGCGTTAAGAGAACCTAAATATATGGGGATGAACAGTAGGGCTATGGGAGGAGTGGGGTCCCATCCTCAGAGGTCCCATCCACAAAGGGCCCCACATAGAGAGGGAGATGGGAGAGATCAAGGCTAGCTTCGAGTGACTTCATGATCTTGTGGAGGGCTACCTGGTCCCTGGTTGCAGCTGGGTGCCAGTTGTAGGGATGGGGTGCATGTCACCTGCTCTTCTTAGCAGCTCTCTGGAAGCTCAAAGCCCTCAGCTCCTATCACATGTCCCCAGAGTACTCTTCCTCCCCCTGCAGGGACAGGCTGGGGCTGTGAGATGAGGCATCCCCCTTACCAAAGAAGGTCTTGACTTCCCTTCAGACATGGGGTCATCAGGCGCCATCTTGGGGAAGGTTGGGCAGTTTTCTCCTGCCCCCCGGGCTTCCATCATCTCCCTGTCCTCTGTGGCCATCCAGAAAACCACGATGCTGCCAAATGGGGCCAAAGGACATCTTTTGAGGCACTAACATTTGGCCTCACCAGATTCCACAGCCCAGCTGCCATCACAATCCCCTGTCCTCATAATAACCCACATTCTACCAGTTGCTAGGGCCCCTTTGGCAGAGGGTGTGACATCTCTGAGGTGCCATTATTAAGAACTGCAGGATGGGCCTTTGCCACCCCTAGAGACTGCTTTGAAAACTAGAATTCCACCACTTGAAATCCAGAATCCCATCATTGGAAATCCACTCCCTTGGGTTCCTCTTTTAAATGCAGACTGTACTGGGTGAGTCACCATTAGCTGCACAAACCCTGCTGGGGGCTGAGTTGTGTCGCCCCTGAGATTCAGATGTTGAAGTCCTAACCCCCAGTACCTTAAGAATGTGAACTTATTTAGAGATAGGGTCTTTACAGAGGTGATTAAGTTAAAATGAGGTCATTAGGGTGGGTCCTAATCCAATAGGAGTGATGTTGTATAAGAAGAGGAAATTTGGACCCAGACACGCACAGAAGGAGGATGGTGTGAAGATAAGGGAGAAGATGGCCCTCCATAAACCAAGGACAGAGCCCTTGCATTGGTGTTCTCCAGAGAAAACAGAACCAATAGGATATATAAAATCATATATTTAATAAATCATATAAAATATTAATATCAGTTATAAAATATTAATATTTTAATATAATATAATTTTTATATAATACAAAATGTATGATTTAATATTAATATTAATAATAAAATCTATAATAAATCATATCTTATGATTTACTATAAGGAATTGGTTCATGCAGTTACGGAGACTGAGAGGTGGCTCATCTGCTCTCTGTGTTTGGGAGACCCAGGAAGGCTGGCACAGAGCCTTCCCTCACAGCCTTCAGAAGGAACCAACCCTGCTGACGCCTTGATCTTGGACGTGTAGGCTCCAGAACTGAGAGAAGATAAACTTCTGTTGTGTAAGCTGCCCAGTCTGTGGTACTTGGTTACGGCAGCCCTAGCAAACGCGTACAACCCCCGTTATTTATAGAATGGCTTGAGGGGGACCAGCAAGAGGATTGGGGGTGCTGGGGTATAGACTTTGCCGTCTTCAGTTTTGTGAAAATGACAACAAACATTTTTGGTCGTTGGAGGCAGTGTCGCATTATGGAAGGAGAAAGGGCTGCATTTGAATTCTGGCTTTTTCACTCTCTCTAGCTGTGTGGCCAAGGGAAAGTGATTTTAACTCGTTTTGTAAATGAGCATAAGGATTTAGCCACTTCCCTGCATTGCAGCACTAATGTGAAAATAAGATGGTGTATTTGCCAACTACCTGCCTATACAGGGGCTACGTAAATGATAACCATTATCATCATCATTATGAAGAGTGGGTTTGTCACTGGAGAGAAGAAAGTGTTCAAGATCTACTTTCTTGCAACTCTTTCACTGGACCATGGGAACTGTCTCACAGCTATTGTGAGAGATATTGATCCTGCTTCAAGCACTGTGAGTAGGATTGCCAGATAAATATATGATGCCTAGTTAAATTTGAATTTTAGAGAAATAAGTTTTACTATAAATATGTTCTAAAAATTGCATGGGACACACTTAGATTAAAAAAATTATTCCTTGTTTATTTGAAATTCGAATTTAACTGAGGATCCTGTATTTTTATTTGTTAAATCTGATCTGCCCAAAGAAACAATTATGTATGACCAAATAATGAACTGCTATTAAAAATCACCAAGTATTGAAACATATAATAAGTACTATGGGTAGTTGTATCAGCTGTATATCAAACAAGATTTCAGTGGTGTAAAACAGTAAACATTTAGCTCGGACATCTAAGAGTTGGCTGATCTAGACTGGGCTTGACTGAGGTGTTTGGCTGAGGCAGCTTTGTCCCACTTGTCCCTCATCCTCTTCTTGGGAACAGTGGGCTAGCCTGGGCATGCTCTTTTCATGGCAATGGAAGAAGCACAAGAAGCCTCGGAACTGGCACACCATCACTTTCATCTTGTACTGTTGGCTTTCGCCAATAATATAAGGTGGTCTTATGGCCAAATCTAAAGCCAAAGGATGGGGAAATGTCCTCTGCCCCTTTAGTGGGAAGACTGCAAAGACATAGGGGAAAAGGTATGCATACAGGCAGGATGAAGAGTTGGGGCCCATAAGGCACTCTATCATCGTAGTCAAGAAGGTTGGTGCTGATGTGGTTGGAGTAGCTGGGGAAGGTTGGTGGAAGAGGTGACATGGAGGGTGGGTGGGATTTGGGCAAGAGGGATGGATCAGCATGAACAACATCTCTGCTGATAACTATTATCCATCTGCCTCTCCTTCTCTGCTTTCCACCTCCTCTACCCTGCCCTGTCCCTAGGAGGCTGACCTCCATGAAACTGCATTAATTCATTAAGCAAGGCAGTATATTCCAAAGCAAAGTGGAGTCTAGGGCTCTCATTTCCCCTGTCCCAAGGTGAGATCCTCACATGCTTGTCCTTTAGTGGACTCTGCAGGAAGCTAGGGAGATAGGTCCCACGAGCCGTGGGCTGGTTTGGCACTCCTGGCATCCTCCTCCACTGAGCCTGGGGAAATGGAGGTTCTAGTAAAGGCGCATGGGGGAGCAAGGGAGACAGGATCACATGGGAGCCCAAGAGGGACTTGGATGACTGGGCCTCACGAGGACTGTGCTTCCTTCAGTAGCCAGCGCTGGTGCACCTTCACAGCCTTTGTCATTGTTATAATTCAGTGGGTCCTGGAGTTTCTGCTTCCGTGTCTGCTCACTTCTCTCACCAACATCCTTCTCCACTTTTGTTTTTCCTCCCTCATAGCTTCAGTGTATGCAAGGTTTCTGCTTCCTCCCAATTTCAGCTTACTCATAACTTTGGTTTCTAATGGCCCTTATGGCCCTGACCACCTGGCCCCTCTCCATGCATTCTGTTTTATGTTCGTCCTGACTCTCTTAGTCTCTTATAATTTCCTAGTAGACTTTTCCAAGGGCAAGAGTTGGAATCACGTAGTTTGTCTCCATATGGTCAGAGCTTTTATTTTTAGCCACTGGGCAGCCTATGGATTGGGAAGGTGCTCAGCCCAGTTCGGGTGGCAGTGGAGAAGTGGAAGGAGGGGGAAGGCAGTGTGCAGAGCACAGCAGCCTCGGGTCGTCTGTAAGCAGGAGCTGTGTGTTGGGGGTCAGTTTCCCTTAGAAGGGGCATGCGGTGTGGCAGGCACCATGTTGAATATTGATGGGCACAATCATAGAGCAACATATCAATTGTAGGTTTGGCAAATAACCAGAGGAGAGACTTGTGTATTAGTACAGCACTCAGAAGCTTTCATGTACATTATCTCATTTGATTCTCAGAATGCCCTTGTGAGGCAATTTAAAGCAGGTACAGTTATTGCTGCCTGACAAGCAAAAAACCTGAGTCATGTAGAGCGATGAAGTGATGGGTGTCTGAGTGTAAAGACATTAGTGGTGGAGCTAGGACTGGAATGCAGGTTTCCCATCTCCTTCCTTGCTGTTTTTATAAGGATGGTCTTTGGGGCTCCAACTCTAAGAGGTGAGATGATTTTCTACTTCATAAATAAAAAGAAGTCGGTATGTACATAGATGTTTATTATAACATTATTTATAATAGCAAAAGACTGGAAAAAAGCTAAATTTCCACCAGAAGGGGTCTGGTTAAATAACTAGTGCTATACCCATATCAAGAATACTATGAAGATTTTACAAAGAATAAGATTCAAGGAAAAAACCAAATAAGGTGGATGCATCAGTGCAAATATGGAATGTTCTCCAAGATATATTATTCAGTGGAAAAGCAAAAACAGTGCTTCCATATGTATTCAAATATGAAAATATATTATACTGGTATATGCTTAGAATATGCCTGGAAAGACACATAAGAAACTGGTTCAAGATGGCTGTCTCTGAGGTGGGAGAACTGAGGGACTGGGGGTTTGGGGTGGGAGGGAGACTTATTTTTAACTGTATGTCATTTTGTACTCTTTGTCTTTTTAAAATAATGTGCATATATTCCATTTTCAATTAAAAATTTAAAAAGGTGTCTGGAAGAGAGAGCTCTGCTCAGCATAGATTAAGGAAGTTTAGGATGTATAACTTGTTCTAGTTGATGACAGACAGGCAGGGATCATGGAGCCACTGGTCCAAGCCACTGGGGCCATATCCAACCTGCATGTCTGGGGTAGTCTTTACTTCAACCAAGGGCAGATAGGTTACTGTAAAATTATCCTCTTCTCTTCCTGGCTGCCTCAGCTATGGACTGTCGTGGCTTTGAGACACTTCAGCTTGGGTACACTGGAGCATTTAGAGGAATATAATAGCAACAGTAACAATAGGTTACATTTATTGGGCACTAACCATGTACCAGGCACTGGGAATTTTTTGTGGATTATTTTACATAATTTTTCAGGGCAACTGTATGAGTTAGGTATTATTATTATTCCTATCTTTATAGAAGTGTTAGCTGAGTTTCAGAGAGGCTAAGTCACCTGCCCACAGTGTCACAGTTAGGAACAGATGAAGCCTGGACTTACACACCAAAGTCCCTGTATTAAATCCCTTCCTGCTTGAAATACTTGACACGGTTTCTGTTTTCCTCACTAAACCCTGGCTGATACAGGGGGTATTCAAGAGAAGGAGTCACTCAAGATGCTCAGAGGACTTGGGGAAATCTCAGGAGGGAGCAAGGAGCTGCTTGAGGAGGCCCCCTCCAGGGATTATGCAGGGATGTGTGTGAAGGCACTTGTATGACCATTCCATCAGCTGGGGTCTAATCAGGAGACAGAAACCACTCAGTAATTCCAACAGGGAAAGTAAACTATAAAGAATTCTCAACTAGTGATGGGAGATTGACTACTTGGGGGTAAAGAGAGCTCTAAATAATACAGGAAGGAATAAATTTGGGAGAGGTGGGGCCTCTGAGGCTGAGATTCAGATATTATTGGAGGGGGTGTAGCTGGAGCCACTGGACAGTGTAAAAGTTCACTGAGGTCAAGGTCAAGCAGGTCAAGGCTGGCAAGCAGGAAACTGCCTATGAGGGTGTCAACAAAACTCAGGGAGAAGTCTAGGAGTTGGTATTGAACATGCCAGGAAGTCACTGGAGAGAACCTCAACCGGCAAATTTGTTGGGAAGTTGCTGGTAAGGTGCTCCTGAGCCTCTCAGGAGGTGAGTGCCATTGGGTGTGACGGCCAAGCACTGCAGCATTGAGGAAAAAAAGGCAGCATGCCAGAATGAGGAAGAGAAGCTCCTTCCTCCTGTGATGGCTCTCCAGCACCCTCTACTGACAAAGCTTAACACCATGCGCTGGCAAGAGACTTTCATAGGGTTCAGCTCCAGTACTGACAGCAGGGCAATGGTGGGTCTGCAGCTGAGAAGCAAGAAATTCATAACTGGCTCAGCATGTGCATGCCTGGAATTCAGTTCCCTTTCAAAACGCCTACCTCATTGCCCTGGGGGAAGGTCCTGCCTTTTGAGAAGTTCACCCGAAATGATATCTCACAAGCCCCTTCCATGTTCATGAGGCTGTGCTAGGCACAGAGGGGAATACTGAGGATCGCCATATGTACTTCTGACCTCCGCGGACTATGTAATCTAGCTAGAGAGAGAAGGAATGCTACTGGATGTTCTCCAATTACACCCTAGCCTGCCTGCCTTCCTCACTTTTGGCTAGCAGTTTTCTCAGCCTACAAAACCTCTCTCTCTTTTATCTTCACCTGTGAAAGTCCCCTCTAGCTTTCAGTGCCCATCCCAGCTACTCTTACCTGTGATGCTGTGTGCTTGATGTCTCTAGCTGCTTTGTGTTAAAAAGATCGGGCGCTCGTTTCATCTCTCCCCGTAAATTAGAGCCTGGGGGAGGGTAGGTCATACTGCCTTGCTCATAGCAGGTGACAGTAAAGTTTAGCCAATGGCCCTGGCCAGGCTGTGGCTCCCTTCTGGCTGGTGAGTATGCCATGTGCAGGCAGACCGGAGGGTCAAGGAACCATGTCTTCTCTTTTTCGTCTTTACAACTAGAAGGCTGTCTTCTGAACCAGCTTCTTTTTTTGATCTTTCCACTTTGATGTGGGTGAATTAACAGTAGATGGATTCCCACAAAGTTGGATGTAAATCTAAGTCTTATAAATTTAGGGGCCAGCCCGGTGGTGCAGCAGTTAAGTGCACACGTTCTGCTTCTCAGAGGGCCAGGGTTCGCCCATTCGGATCCTGGGTTCGGACATGGCACCCCTTGGCACGCCATGCTGTGGTAGGCGTCCCACATAGAAAGTAGAGGGAGATGGGCACGGATGTTAGCTCAGGGCCAGTCTTCCTCAGCAAAAAAAGAGGACTGGCAGTAGTTAGCTCGGGGCTAACCTTCCTCAAAAAAAAAAAAGAGTCTTATAAATTTAATTCTGTGTTAAATGCTTGGGAAGTAGAGTGATAGGTGTGGGAACTTTGCTATGTAAAGGAATTTTGTGCATGATTTCACAAAGCTGCTTTCCCTTGATCTGTAATTTATGTCAGTTAAATGGCCATTCATATGCTGGGCTTGTTAAAGCAAAGCCCACCTGCGGTGAGCTCAGAGAAGCCTGCATACAGGTGCTCTAATGCTCTAACCAGGTTGGAGCTCCTGATGGGAGGAATATTCCAATGAAGAGCCTGCGTCAGGCTGAAATTCTGGACTTTGTCATTCAGAGCTGGAGGGGGCTGTGGAGACTTCCAGCCTGGGCCACAGTGGCTCTTGGTAACAACTTCTCATTGGTTCATTTTGGTCAGAGGAGGGGCCCAGTGGAGTGCAGCAGAAAATGCTCTGCACCAGGGCTAGGAGTCCTGGGGTCCTGGTCCAAGCTCCGCCATTAGCTAAGCCAGCCAAGACCTTGGCAAGTCATTGGAACCCTCCAGGATACAGCTTCTGTATGTGAAAACTGGGGCAGTCAAGCCTCCCCTGCTTCATGCAGACCTGTTGCCATGGTTTCCACCTTACAACAGGTGGGCTTGGAGTCCAGGGGTACATCTGCTGTTAGAGCTGCCCCAAATGGCCTTTTAGAATATGCTGAATGAGGTCTTGGAAGGTCTCCCCTATGACATTGTTGAAGTCACTTTCAAAAAAGCCTCCTTGAATGTTTCATCTGACACTCTTCTTTCATTTCATGTAAGTTACAAAATAAACTTAATTCCCATAAAGAACTTTTCTCTCCTCCTCTCAGTGCTGTTCCAGCCTCCCCAGCTACAATAGGAAGGGCACGCAACTCTGTGAAGCGAGTATTGGCCAATACTGCCCCCTTGTGGTCAAGCTTGTCCTTACTGGAGGCTTTCAGCCCAAGAGTTTTTCGAGATTCCTGCTCCTGGGCATTTGCAGAATTATCAGAAGGTTATCTCAGAAAAGCTGAACCCACAAGACCCTTGGGAGGGGTTCCAGCTGCAGAGAATGCCTGGTGACAACCCAAATCCGCAAAAGTGGCCTTGTGGAGGTCTGCGTTCCAGGGAGGAGGTTAAGGTGAGGAGGAATATGTCATCAACAGAAATTCATGGGAGCTGAGCTCAGGCAGAACCACAGGAATAAGCCCAACAATGGAAAGAGCCATGGGGGGCATTCACATTTGGGACATCTAGTGGGACATCACAGTTGGCAGCCATCCCAGCAGGCAGGTGGGGAGCAGCCCCCGGAGGCTCCCTCCAGCAGGCAGGAGGCGTTGGAGATCTGTGACAGCAGACAACTGGGTTTGTCGTGGGGCTTGGGGTAGGAACTCCAATCCTTGAAGGGGTGTGGGCCTACAGAGCTGGGAGTTCCAAAGTGGAATGACAGGCAGAAAACTAAGACAGGAGGAGGGGAGGGTCTGGTAGGAATAAAATTCGGGGCTTAGGAAATAAGGTGAAAGGACAAGAGGAAGCATTTGGGTCTTGGAAGTGGGGTAGCAGGTGGGCTCAGTTACCAGAATTGGGGGCTAGGTTGCAGCGGGCCTGGCTCTGATTCTGACATGTTCCTATAAATGCTCTGTAATCCCACAGGTGACTAGAGGCATCTGGCTAGATCGAAGTCTCCAGAGGGGAGCCAAGCCCACGGGAAAGGATTAAGTGCCTCTGGCTGTACTTGAGGGGCTGTCATTTCAGACCTGTGTTTAGATTTTTACAAGATTCCATGTAAGACCTGAGCTTGGCAAATTCTGAAAGAGCTCAGCTTGTGTTTCTTCTCTGCTGGACCCTGTCTGGCTCTATCCCCTCGGACAGCTTGGGCTGCTCCTTCCCCGAGCTCACCCACCTGCTCCGAGCCTTGGAGGAATGTCCCTGCCAAGAAACGGAGCTGCCGCTGGAGCTGCTGTCCTGAGAGGGGTCCGTCCACTGAGTCACTCCACGTTGTGGGGGCTGATGGTGGCTCGACGAGTCACTCTTCCCAGGCATATTTGCCTGGGACGAGTATGAAGGCCTCTCCTCCCAAATGATGGAATTTTAAGCGCAGAAGCAGAATAATGGGAGAGATGGCTGGGAGTTTGGAAAAGCTTCCCACAACCCCTCATTGCGCCCCAGGCGAGGAACACCCCATCAGCTTAAAATCCAAGTGCTTGAGGTGAGACCATCCTTAAAAACCCACATGTGGGCCATGGCTAAGCTGTCCATCCGCCTTTGCTGGTTAAGAGGCTGCTTTCATCATGCGCAGGATCAAAACTGGTTCACTCTGGCAGGGACTGGGCCAGCACCCACGTCTTGCCTGCAGTTCAGAGGCAGTTTTGACGTGGTTTTGCTTTCAGGTGTCACCTTAGAGCAGAGTTTCTCAGAAAGCCAGTTCTAAGGGAGGCACCTGAAGAGCAAGTTTCCATGACTCCGTAAGTCTGGGCAGCAGTGCACCGCATGCCTCCTGCTAGAAAGCCCCATTCACACCAGCACGTGAAAGGCCTGGAAAGTCTAGCCCCGAGGAGCCCGCGTACTGCCGCTCAGTGCCATTCCCCAGGTTTATTTGATCTAGACTCATCTTCCCCTGTGTGCTCTGTGGTTCCCTCCCTGAGAATTAGTTTCCTGCTGAACTCACAGGGAACAATGACGCGGGGTCATTGTTAGAGGGTGGATGGGAGTGAAGCTTTGACCTGTGGAACCTGCCGGAAAGCCTGGTCCCCACAGCTTCGAGGAGCTTCTATGGCAACCCCAAACCATTTCCGTGATCTCCCTTCGCTGCCTTGGGTCACACCCTCAACATTGGACTGGAGGAAGGGCTGCCGGATTTAGCAGCTAAAAATACAGGAGGAAAGGCTAAATTTGAGTTCGTATAAAGACCAAATAATGTTGTATAAGTATGTCCCATCCAGTGTGTGACAACCCTACTTGGAAGATGCCTGAGAGGTGTGGGGTGCCTCTGAGAGCCGGTGAACACAGAGCTCCATGGAAGAACCACAGGAGGACCTTGGCACGGTGCCCTGACACCGCCACAGCCAGTCCTTTATGAGGGCCTGGATGTGAGGCCTTGGGCTAGGGCTCCATATGCATTGCCTCATTTAATCCCCCTCAGAAGGGATTGTTATTATCACCCCTATTTATGCATGAAGAAACTGAGACTCAGAGAGGTTAAGTGGTTTGCCCACACCACACAGCTGTTAGGTAGCAAAGTTGAGATCCAGGTTTCTTTCATTCCAAAGTCTGGTGTTTTACTTCCTCTTAGGCACAACCCTTACTGTCCCACAGCAGTGAACAGAGCCGAGGGCCCTACAGCCCCCCCAAGTCATCTTCTCAAAGATCCCATAACCTTTCCCCTCTGCCTCGCCTCTCGGCACCCTCCAAGGTTCCCAGTGACCAGGGTTCTGCTAACAGGCTTGCTGACCACTGACCACTCGGAGAGTGAAGGACAGGTGGAAGTTTTCAATCCAGCAAGACTTAACTGAACCTTCTCTGCCCTCCTTTTGCTGCTCACCCTGAGTCAAATGTCACCTTCTCTGTTCTCTGTGGACCATTTCCCCTTTCTGCCACAAGCGGACTTCCTCTTTGGGGGCCTTGTGGCATGTGGTACATTCACACAATTCACCCCACGTGGCATTAGTCATGCTGAAATGTTACTGTTGGCTCATGTCTTTCTGGACCCCCGGACTCTGGGCTTCATTTTTTTTAACTGAATTTTTTTAGAGCAGTTTTAGGTTCATAGAAAAAGACTTTGGTTTTTTTTTAAGCATGTGGGTGTCTGCTTCATCTCTACCCCAGCACCTTGCCTGGCATCTGGCACACAGTAGGTGCTCAACTACACGCTTGTTGAGCCACGAGTGAAGCAATGCACACAGGAAATGATCAAAAAACAACAACAAAGAAATATATCGCTAAGAGCATCTTTGCCGGAGAAAATGAAAGCGATTCCCGGTTCTTGGCAGTCGAGAGTAGTGTTTTTGTGGCCCTTCCCTGGTTGATTTTCTAGTTTGTTCTGGAAGCCTGGACCCAAGGAGAAGCTTCTCCCTGGCAGCAGTACCGCCTTCTTCCAGAAGATGGCGGGCGAGGCCTGCAGCACAGCGTCGCGGGGCAGCCCGCTGGGCCCGTCGGCGCAGGTGAGCCCTTTTCATAAAGGACGCGGGAAACTGGGGCCTGTTTACCAGCGCTATAAATGCACGTGGAAGAGAAGAACTGGCCTTCGAGGTACAGCTGCTAGCTGATCTCTTGTGAAAAGGAGCCTTTTGGAAAGGGCGCTTAAAGGGAAAACGTGGCCACAGGTCCTGAAGGGGCTGCTTCTCATGGACCCCCTTTGAGTAGTGTCTCTTGAATAGCCGTGGAAAATGAACTTAATATAAAGCAGACACAGCCCTCAAGCGCTCCCTGACTCGAGACAGCATCCCTTCTGCCTCTTGAAGCTCGTTGGCTTTGGAAATCACCCGCGGCTCTGTGGCCACCTCCCCTGTTGGCTGAAGCTTGCCTCGCGGCACGTCCCTCTTTGCGCAGGTCTGCACGCTCCGCAGAGGTAACTGAGGACTTTCCGAGTCCAGCTGACTGGAAAGAGGCGATGGCCTAACAAAACGGCCTGGGGAATTTCCAGCACGATGGGAATTTGCCAAATAGCTCTTCTGTAGGGCTGACGAGGCCTACTAATGTTTGCTCCTCAAAGTCAGCCATAATTACGAAGGTAAGACCAGCCGGCCCCTGCCCCTGCCCCTGCGGGTGTAGGTGTGCCAGTGGGAAGAGGGGAAACATCTCCCTAATCTTGCCTAAAACAGATTTGAAGCCTGCAGCCGCCCGCCTCCCATTTTCCTTCTGACCTAAATCCTCCCCCGAAGCTAAGCCGGGCTCCAGGCCAGGGTGTCAGCTGTGCACAAAGGCGCCCTGTTTTGAAGGCCTGGCTGCTGTGTTTTCCTACCCGGTCTGACAAACGGTGTCGAACTCCCCAAGTCAATGTGATAACACAGAAATATGCAAAGATGGCCGTTGCCTCCCAGGAAACCAGAACACTGCCCCCTCGCGTTTCCACCACGTGGCAACGGGGTTCTTTATATGAAGCTGTCCACTCCGCCGCCCCAGGTCTGGCTGGTCACGTGGGGGGCGCTGTGCTGGATGCTTCCTCAAGCTGAGCTTGCCCTATTTTTTCTGGCTGACTGGGGAGCCGATCGTTACTCACTGATTCTCCTCAGGGTCTTTGGAGCGTGAGCGAGTGACGGTCCCCCCACCTCTTCCTCCAGCTTCCAGCACCCCGGATCCTCTGCCTCTGGCATTGCAGGGGTCGTGGGCGGGGACTGGGCTGGGCTAGAGACCAGGACTGGTTCTGCTGAAACTCCCCATTGCTGTGCGAACTGGGGGAGACAGAGCTGCCAGCGCTTCAGGCATAGTTTCTGCTCCTGCAAAATGGGGATAAAAACATATGCCCTACTTTGCCGGTTGTTTGGAGGCCACATTCATACAGATGTGCAGGTGACAGATGGGTTGTGCATTCAAGATAGACAGGGCTCTCTGTGGGCCTGGAACGTGGAGGAAGGAAGAGGGAAGGTTGAAAGGACCAGAGGGGTTTAGACATGTGCACATTATGGGGGGGGGGGGGTGCCAGGTGGGGAAATGGTGGGAAGAACGTCACAATGCCAGGAACCCATGGGGCATTTCCTAGGAACAGTGGGTACATCATTCTGGTTTAATCAAATGCTGTGTGTGTGTCTGTGTTTACGTACATGCAAGTGTGCCTGTAATGGGGAGATGAGACTCGAAACTTGGTATGGGGTCCACTTATGGAGTACCTTGAAGTTCTGGCTCACCACTTTGGGGAACATTACAAGCTTATGAGCAAAGATCCACGCAAAGTAGTGGAGGAAGATTAATGTGGCCATTTGTGTATGAGAGAGGGTTAGACCAAGGGGAGGGGGCCCAGTTAGCAGACCATTGTAAATTCTGGGCCAGAGAGGATGGTATGGGAGACCAAGAGGGCACCCAGGGGACAGATTTAAAAGCTATTATTCAGAAAGAATCAACAGGACTTGACTGAGTTCAGGCTCAGACTAGGAGGATGGTGGCCTGTGGAAGAAATAGGTAAGGCCATAGAGAAAAGCCTAGTGTGGGGAGAAAGCTCAGCTTTAAGGGAATTCCACCTGCTGTGACTGGGTTCATTTGGCCAAATGGAAGCAGTAACAGGTGAGAAGGAGAGCAGATGCACACACTCGCTAGGACTTCTCTACCAGGCTCTCCTCAGCACCCTGGTCTCCTTGACCTTTCAGAGTGTGCTCTGCACCCTGACCTGCGTCTTGACTCAGCTTCTAGCTACCAATCAGGGTGAGAAACTGAGCCTGCTGGCCTGGCTGTCTGCTGACATCTGACCTTTGCCTAAGTAGAAAGAGCCCTGGCTCTGGCTGGTCTTCACTTCACCAGGGGTGGTCTGTCTCTCCCTGCAAAGCCGGGACTTAGCTATTTTTGCTGGATAGGTGGAAAGCTTAGCCATATTTGACAGGCTCTGTTTGGGGAGTAGAGACCAGGATTTCTGCCTCAGGATGGGGAGAGAAACAACAAAGATGGTAGATCATTTTCTGGGAAAAGCAAAAGGCAGCAGGAGGCATTTCATTCCTCCGACTCAGGCCCTTTCAGACGGCTGCTCGTATGATGGATGGAGACGTTTATTTGCTGCCGTTTTCTTGGAATCACTAATCTCTAGTAAATGCTCAGCCCCCTGCAGGAGAACACTGCTAGCATTGTGAGGTGTGCATTTTAATTCTAAGGGAGTCGCAGATGCAGGCGAGACGTTGATTAAATAAAGAACTGGCAGCAGAAGAAAGGTGTAAGTGCCCACAAGAAGGAGTTGCGTGGGGGAGGGAGGGCCCAGCCCTGTGGCTAACCAGTCCCCTCCTCCCTCCATACTGTGGTTTTCTCACCTTAAAATGAGGGTAGGGGCTGGAGGACCTCCAAGCTCCTTTTGTAGCCTGACATTTTGCGATTTATTTTGTGTCACGGTCCCAGCCTGGACCTGGGTTCTGTGGGCAGTGGTGGAGAAAAATGCACAGACTTTACCCTCTGGAAAAGGCCACCTCAAAATTGGCCATCTCAGGCCTCTCAAAAACTCTTGAAGCAGTCTCCATCAGCCGCACAGAATTCTGGTCTCGTGGGCCGGGGTCAAACCTCACATTGTTGAGGTTGGCTCCTACCAAAAGCTGGTTGTAAGAAATAACTTACGAGAGAAGATCAAAGACTAATTTTCAAACATTTTAAAAAGCAATTAAACCCTTTTTTCAAAGGAAATTTTATGTGAACTTGAGCTGAGACAGATAAAACTCTGGGCTGTTCTGGTAGAAGGGACCTGCAGTCCCCAGGCCTTTCCGTGAACCCACAGGCTCTGAGAAGCACAGTTTGAAAGTGGCTGACCTGGGAGTGGGACAATCTAATGACAGATATGGGGACAGGTGAGGTCTCTGACTCCATGTCCATATAGTGCCTTTGCATTTCGGTAAAGATCACTGTAAGAACCAGCACCAGGCTGTCCCTTCTTTGTCTGCTATGA